AGATTATATGAAGATTAACATTCTTCATATTCTTTGGTTAAAAATATTTAAATAGTGACAACTATCATACCCTAAAGTTTTCCCCTTTTACCATTTCATACATGCACCATGTCATTTGAATCTTTGCATATCAGTAAATGTGTTTCTTTAGGCATAATTCCAAAAGACAGCCAGAGTCATTTTTTGACTGTTTAAAATTGAACCATCATTCATGATACATTCATACCATTGTCCCATTCATGATTTTATTTCACTCTACCATATTCATGTTACATCTTCTAAAATCAATATTTGACTTTTCTAATTCCATTTCAATTCATATCATCACCTTTGCATTTGACAAAGGAACTAAGGGGTTTGGATTGGCATTTTTTGTAATTAAAATAGACTTACGTAATTTACATACGTATGAATTAAGTTGGTTTCCATCATTGGTCTTTGCATTACTTGAGATTATATCTTGAAATACAATCCACACCCACATGGTTTTTCTTCATGCACAAGTTAACATCACCATTTGAAAAAATAAAAAGAAGCCTAAAGTTGAGTTTGAATGAATTGCATGGCACAATTTTGTTATACATTATCTTCATCATGTCATTTTGAAAATAATAAAATTTCAAGAACCTTTGAGTATCATATCATACCAAAATGAACTTGAAATGCTTTTTAGTACCATTTCATTTGCACAAGCATACATCATCTAACGCAATTACAATATGAATTACAACATTCACGTTCAAAAACTTGGCACATGGATCACCAAAACCTCACTCGGATTCATTCATTATCCACTCTTTCAAATCCTAGAAAATCAGGGATTACACACTCACACAAATCCAACGAAATTACAATCCTCACTCACGCGTATCCTACACTCATTTTTCACACAATTCCTTCCTTCACACACTAACAATCATATAATATATAATACTACCATATTCTCACTCGTTGGACACATAGAAAAACCCTAAAGAATTTCTAAGCAGCAGTAACCACCACTATTCCCTAACCCTTCACCAAAAATCTCTTTGCAAGTGTCAAATAGAGCTTCACCTTGAAGCTTAAGTTGGACCAAGCAAGGCCTCAATATCCCTGGAATCGATTCACACAATAGCAGAAAAAAATAGAATAAGGGAGAAAAAGAAGAAGAATAGAAGAACAATAAGAGAAAGAGAAGCAAAAACTTACCTTTAAAGTTATCCATTTTTTGTATATTTTTGTGTTCCTTGTTTGTTTGTGTTTTGAATAATGTTGTCGTAAGCTTGTTTTCCCATTTCCCTCCATTAATTGTGCTTGTAATGGTGTAATTTTGCAAAAATTTAGTGAAAAGGGCTTTAGGGTTTCAGTGGGATTGGGGTATCGATTTCTTCATTTGTGTGTTTTAACGGTGTTTTTGATGTTGGATTTGTGATCAGCGTCATAAAATAACTAGGGTTAGTGTTTGAATCTTTTGAATTTGGGAATTTTTGGGGTTTTCTGAGTTTGAGATGAAGAACACTCAAGATGTTCTTCATCTACACCGCTTTACCTGCCCTGTTCAATCCATTTTTGGGGAGTTTTTTTGGGTTTTAATGTTTATAGGCAGAAAGAGAGAGAGAGAGAGAGAGAGAGAGAGAGAGAGAGAGAGAGAGAGAGAGAGAGAGAGAGAGAGAGAGAGAGAGAGAGTAGTGGGGGAAGCCAAGTAAGAGAGAGAAAATCTTAAGAGAAATGATTTCCTCTCTTTTCGTCTCTAATTTTATGATCAATTTTGGCCCGTCTGATGTAGGATACGCGACCCAAGATATGGCCTTCTCTTTGGTTGATTGTTCCATTAACTAGGGGCCATGTACAAGGAACCCCACCATAACCTGTCTGCGTCTTCATTTATCAACTGTTGATCATGATTGACTATCCCAGTCATATGATCCAACGTCTCCCTTTGAGTCAATAATTTTGACTCTGATTTTGGTCCTTCCAGCGTGTTAGCCTTCACCGATTACTCATTTCAGTCTTGTTTCTTCTCTTACACCCCCAATTAGTAAAACCTTGGGCCTCTGCTTGTAGGCCCAGGCAAATTGTGGTGCCACTCTTTTTTTATTTACACTTTTTTTTATAGTTTTTTTCTTTTTTTTATTTTGTTTTTTGTGGGCCTTAAGCCCAGTACATCATTACTAGCATACGTCCCCATGTAATATTTCACCCTCACTCCTTTATTTTTATTTATTTATTTTTACTTATTAATTAATTAAGTAAATAATTAAAATTAACATTTTAGAAATAAAAGTGTTTGATCAACATCAAACAATTTTCAAAAATTCCACAAACATTTCACTCAACTTCAAAACCCTTCCATGACCAAATCAAACCCTTTTCAAAATAAATACTTGATCAACATCAAGTTCTTTTTCGCATGATTGAAGCACTTTGAATTCTTTTTCATAATTAAGTCGGTTGGAAAAGATTGATTTGAACGTAATATCCTATCTTTTCCCCAAGTGTTTGAATGCTAGTCGTACTTAACTCGTTGTCTGAATATTTGTCTTCCATTCAAAATACAATGATTAACCAAATCTAGTTTGGTATTTATTATATGAAAAATAATTGGTTTGAACGTAATATCCTCTCTTTTCCCGAGTATTTGAATGTTGGTTGTACTTAACTCGTTGTTTGGATATGTGCCTTTTGTTAAGGACTTACGACTTAATTCGCCTCACAAATTTCATAAATAAAGTGGGTGAAAAAGGATTGGTTTGGACTAATATCATCTCTCTTCCTCTACTATTTGAGTGCTATACGTAATTAGCTCCTTTTCAAATACTCATCATTCACTTAAAAACAACGCAACCAATCAAATCTTTTCCATCTTAGCGTGTTGTCAAAAAAATTCATAAACGAAAGATGCTTTGTCCATTCTGAGATGATGCAAATAATGTTTCGTTTCTATCATACACAAGAAGTAAGAACCTTTTTCGCTCAAACGCGATGAGAACATAAATCTGTGAGAATCCAGATTATGTTGTCCATTTTGACGCAATGCAAATGTCCACTTCTCTATGTTTTGGGTAGCAAACAATATTTTCCGTTCAAATGCTACTAAGCATTCTTCGCTAAAATCGACAAACATACAAACTTTTGCTACTCAGAATTACGTAGCTTTTAATTCTTCATTGCACTTGAGGATATGTAGGAGTAAGACTCACAATCTTGTCAAGTACCATAATAAAAAAAAAATTAGTCATTTTGTTTATTATTTCCAACTTTTAATAACTAGAAGAAAACAATAATGAAAAATAACACTCTATGTTCAAAACTAACTAAATGGTACCCATTGAATACAACATATGTGAGGGGTTTTAATACTTTACCCTCGCATAATTGTTTCTCGAACCTGAATTTAGTTGTGATGAACATTTTTCTTTAAAGGTTTTATTGGTATTTTCCTTTTTCTTTTTAAAATACATAAACTTCGACGACAACTCTATTATTATTTCGAACGTGCGAACGTCTGTGATATTTTTGACACCGCGACAACGTCCGATGAAACTATATCCAAATAATCTAACTTATAAGAGCTAATGGAAGACAACATATAATGTGCATAAAGGTTTTCGTGAATTAGATACTCATAATTTGACAAGTATTCTGCATTATTTATTTTATTTTATTCCGCAAAATAAAAATCCATATACATAAGTAAAAAATGTGATATATATGCATAATTTTCAACATGATTACGTTGTCTTGTATAACTTTTTTTCTTTCTACAAATAACATGTTAGGTTACTTTTTTTACATAAACTTGTTAATGTCTTTGACAATTATTCCCTTTATCTCAAATTGTAAGTTATTTTGTCAAAAAAAAATTATTTTAAATTATAAATTATTTTATATTTTTAATATAATATTAATGACATTTTTTTTAATATGTTTTCAAATATTTATTATTATATATTATTTCAATTTTTTTAATTTTTCTTTGTTGTGTAATAATAAAGGACATTATTGTAAAATTCTATATAATTTATCTTTTTTATAAAATAATAATTAAATTTTTTAATTCGTATGAAATGTTGAAATATTTTATAATTTAAGACGGATAGAATAATACAAAATTAGGTTGAAATTAGATGTATTATTTGCAAAAATAAACATTTTTCTGTCCCAACAAAAAAACCTAAACGACGAAATACAACACTGTTTTCTTATGTAAGATTTTGAACAAATATTTATGATTGTTTGAGCTTGTAGTAAGTGAGAATTGCATACACTTTCAAAGCATAAATAAACTAATCACTGCACTCTCTCTGTCTCACAATATATCCTCTTTTTAATTTTTATGTCTTTTTAAAATGTAATTTTTATTTTTTTTCATTAACTTATCCTTATTTACTATTCCTTCTATTTTTTATTATAAATCGTTTTATGTTCTTTTCACACGTATTAAAAAATTAATAATTGTGATATAAAAAAAATGTAAAAGATTTTATAAAATTATTCTTTATTAATAATATTGAAAAGACAAATTTATATAATTAAAAGAAAAGAGAATAATAAATATTTAAAAAGATAATAGAACAAATAATATTAATTATTTTTTAGTATTATAAAACGTCTTATATTGTGGTATAAAATAATTTTTTAAAGCGATTTATAATAAAAAAACAGAAGTAATATATTTTAAATCATGTAACTAATTCACCATCTATTATTAATAAAATTATTTCAATAAATAAAATTTATTTTATTATTAAAATCAACACAATTAATTAAAAAATATAAAAATCTTAACAACGACATCTATTATAAGACAAAAGAGTAACATTTACATTAAAAAAAGAGACAAATCTATATTCTTGTAAAAATAACACAACAAATCAATATTTGGTATCAACTTCATCTGAACTGACTAATCTATCAATAAACTTAAAAATTAATGTAACTATAATTTACTATCAAATAATATTTGTAAAAAAAAAACAACAAATCAATAATTTTCTTTTTTTAAAACATTCAAAAGATCAAAATCTTCTATTAGTGTGATTCATACCGTGATTAAAACCCAAACAGCCCAACAAACCTTGTTTATAAGGCAACATAGTTTTCCTCTTCAATTCCTCAGAAGCAGCCCGGTTCAGTGTATAATGCAACTCATGAGCCGAAACCGGTTTTCTCCGTTTTGAAACCGAACCGGAATTCTCAACGGACCGGAAGCTAGAGTTACCTACATCCTCGTACTCTGTCCTTTTAGACAAAACTCTGTATTTCCTCAAAGGATCTCTGTCTGAGCCTCTTCCTTCGGAAGCACTCCGAAATAAAAGAAAATCTTTGAGTCTCCATTTTCGATACCCTTTCGAGAATGAAATTGTTGATAAGAAAGATGAAAAAGATGAAGTTTCGGTTTGTTTAATGTTGCTGTTGGCAGTGGCACTACTACCTTTGTTATAATGGGAGAGTTTGGAATATTTTCTATGATCACGACAAGTAGGAAACGAAAACGATGAAGATCTTTCTGTATCAGAAAGCTTATTATTCTGTTGTTGTTCTACTAACTTTATCTCTGTTTGTTGTTGTTCTTGATGATGAGAAGGTGAAATGAGGTTGAGAGGCAGAATTTTTCCAGCATGGAAAAGTTGATCCGCAGAAAGAGAAGAACTTTGAAGATGGGTATTGAAGTTGAATTCAAAATCTTGATCATTGTTGGTGATGATAGGTTTATCATCATAATCTTTGAGGGATGTGAAGGAGAAGTTGCTGGGAAAAAGTTGGGGAGTTGAAGGGTCAGTGATGTAAGTGGAAGATGAACAGTTGGTGTTGAAATTGAAATCTATGGAAGGCACTGCTGCTACTAACATTACTTCATTCTCCATCATGTGTTTAGTAGTTATCAATTTCAATGCTAGTTTGTAAAAGTATAGATGAGGTTATATATACAGAGGATGAAAGCGACGGTTGAGAGAACAAAGCAAAAACTAAGTTATTAAGGAAACAAAGAAACAAGATCCGAATGTTGTAGTACTAAATTTTGTGACAAGGGTAGGGTCCCACCTTTTTTATTCTATTTTTGTTATTTCAAGACGAAGGTAGTATTTGGATATTCATAAATCTATATACTAACGATTTTATATTAAATTTATTTTATTTTATTTTTCATCAAGTTATAAGCTATTCTTCAAGTAGTTTGAAGAGTGGTTTTGAATAAAGCGGAGATTCAAGTTTTGAGAAAATAACCGTTGAAATAAAGAGAAGAGCTGACAAAAGTTGCAAGAGGAAGTGCCTTTGCTTGTTCTTTCTTGATATGATGTTACCAATTAGGTTTCCGTTGAATCCATACTAAACTTTTTTTTTTTTAATTGATAATTTAAGGGGGCATATTATATTCCACTTTTACTTTTTTATATAAAAATAAAATATTCATGTGCATACAACGTTCCTGCTCTTTTTTTTAATAAAAGTATGATAATATTAAATTATTAATTTAAAATTTTTTTTATGTAATTTAGTGGCTGAAATTTATTTTTGGTTGATGCCTCTATATTTGAATTAATTTAGAATATAATATAATTTTTTTATAATATATATAATTTTTTTTATATTTAAGTTATTTTAAAAGATTATATTTTATAAAATCTAGTCATATCATAATATAAGATTATGCACTTAAAATTGTATAATGTTCATTTAAAATTTAAATTATTAGAAATAGTTCGTTTTCCTGCGAATTTCGACAAAAAAATTTTAGGAAACATGTTACCTGCGATTTTTCCTGCTATTTCTGTTCCAAACTAAAATTTTCGTAATTAATTTAGTAGGTAAAGTTGCAGTAAAGATCGCAGGTAAAATAGATAAATTCGTAATTGTAATTTTCGTAAGAAAACTCGTAGCAAATTTAAAATCCGTAGGTAAATTCACAAACAGTTTCTCTCAGATTTTTAATTTTTATTATTAATTGTATTTTATTCATATTTAAAATATTATAATTATTGTTAAATATCAAAGTAACAATAATATAAAAATAAAAATATAATTTGAATAAGACAATGCAACACTAATCACATTTAAATTTTTAAAGCAACCAAACATTACTATAAAGTCAATAACATGTACTTCTAGAATTACATTGCTAAAAATGACACAATCAAGTTACTAATAATCACTTGTCCAACCAAATTAATAACAAAAAACAATGCAAATTTCAAACTAGTTAACAAGAAAAAACAATTCAAATTAAAATTCACTACTAATGTCTTCATCTGATTCATCAACATCATCTTCACTTGAATTATCAATTTCATTATTGGCTTGGGGTGGATAAGAAGCAGATGCAAGAAATCCTAAATGATTCATTAACAATGAAAGTTTATTGTTCGTTTCAATCATCTCTTTTTCTTGTCGTTGCAATTGTTACTTCTTCTCCAACTTCTCTTGTTCTTGTCTTTGCAATGATGCATTGAGAGCATGGACTTGACTTCTCAAATCATCAACCTCTTGAAATTGTATTTTTTGTAAACTCTACCATTTGGAGGTATGATATCCATTATTATAAACTATAAAGTAGCCAGATCAAACCATGGTAGTATGCTTGAGGCGTACCGGTTGAAGTGTATACACGATCATCAGGTCCAACAACATGATTAGAACTGCCAGTTACAAGCAACTTTCCATGAAGCTCTTGTGGGAATGGTACATTATTCATTAATCCTGGTTCATTTTCACCACTATGCAAATTACTATCATTAACCAGCTTTACAGTAGATTTCGAGGAGAATGTTATGGACCAAGATCCTCCATTTGACCCAGCCAAAGCCATTATAACATCTGCCTACATACACCAAAGAGCATGCAAAAGTCATGATAAGCAGAGTGATCCAACAAAGTGAAATACATAAGACTTTCTATTATGATTTGCAAAGAAAACATAAAAAAATGTGTGAACCATTAAAGTGAATGCCAGCAAACTCTAGCCTAAATGATTTTATTGAAAAATTGGTTTTAATAAAGCCCAAAGATATTTTATAAACCAAATAAAAACAGAACGTAGTGAAACTGTTTCCTGATAAAAACAGTGTCTCCATAATTACAAAAAGAATTTCAAATACTAAAACATTAAGTCTTGAAATTTTAAAAAAAAACTATAAAAAGAGGCAATGTTATCAGAAGACAGGGCAACCATCAACCTCTATACCCTTGGCAGTTGGATAAGTTGTCAGAGGACAATGCACACCAGCAGTTTCCCACCAATTCAGACTTACATTTTCCAGTTCTAATGCAAAGCAATACAACCATAAAAGTCACCCCTGCATCAAGTGCTGTCGATAAAACATTATTGTATCTCTGCCACCATTTCTTTCTGTAACGGAAGATAAAGAAGTTGAAAATGGTTCCAACTACAATCTATGTGTTGTAGTTCAATGTTGTTGCTGGAGGCATCATTCCGGTTGCTCCCAAGAGTACTAGAAGGTTAGTCAACGGAATCCATGACTGTTGTGGAAATGCCTTGTATACCCCTAATAATCAAATAAATCATTTAGGCACATATTAAAATCCATCAGAGTATAATTAAAACACGGTATAAAAGAGGTGCGCTACATCATACTTGAATTTAAAACATACAACACCTGCTCAATAAAGATATGCAACAGTGGGGTAACTCTCCACAGAGGAACTTAGTCCTCATACCCACATCTCAATATTTAGAATAAAAGCGGAAACATTTAAATATTGACAATCATCAAACATATATACATATATATATATATATCATCTAGTTTAATTCACAGCATAATTCATGTTTCATAAATATTCCATAACAAGATACATATACAACATATCATAGAAGAATCATATATCTTAGCTACCCGATGATACAATTCAGAGCTGACCGACAAAAGAATGAAGACACGTTTCACAAAATACCTCTAGCATACCTACTCTGCAATGCCTCATAGAGCATCATAAAACAGCAGAAGAGTGAGAAATATACACATAATCAACATTCTCACCACAAGTCATCCATATACACCACAATGTATATACAAATATATGGATAACCACCAAGCACATTCATCATACATACATCCATAATTCACTCATTTCTACATAAACATTTACAATTATGTTTATTCATCAATTCATAACTCTCAGTTCAATAATTCATACACATATGCATAATTCATACAACAATTATACCTATTCCATGTGACTCAATTCAACTCATGCCATGTGGTACCAACACTTGTTATTATTTTTTTGGTTTTTACATTTAAACCGGGTCCGTCCTCTAGACCAATAACAAACAAAAGCCCGTCCTCTAGGCTTTCAAACCCCACTCTAGGTTTGGGACAAGTCACTAGTCTCCACGAAACTAGCAAGCATTGCCTTTTGACAACAAATGATGCGTATGCAATCAAAAACCATATGCACTTAAGACCGTTCTCGCATCTCAATCCCATGCATTCTCAAATAATTCATCACACAAGAATTATAACGTGATTGCACACACAACACATTTCATAATAATCAAAGTATTCATACTTTTAACACCATCATTACATTTATCAAGCAATGCACAAGAATACACATCTTGATGCCTCATATACAATCGCATACAATCAATATGCATTCATAATATCGCGCCAAACGGCAACAAACTCCATCACATTCATCATGCACTTTTAATCAATTTAAACAATGCAATATTTGCCAAAAAGGCCACATTTCACAATCGATTTCACAATCTAGGATTCACGCCATACGGCTACCCACAACATATCATAATACAACACACAAGCTATGCGTTGAAGAATCAAAGTATCAACATTGGATGGAAACAACAGAAATAAAACAATGCTGTCATGCTCGTTGGCTCACTCGCCTAGCGAAGGCATAGCGACCATTCGCTACTGGCTCACCTAGCGAACGTGCTAGCGAAGTCTTCCTTTTTGCTACTGGAAGTGTTCGCTACCCAACTCGCTTAGCGAAGGCTTAGCGAACACTCGCTACCCAACTCGCTTAGCGAAGGCTTAGCGAACACTCGCTACCTCACTCGCTCCAGCGAACAAGGGTCATTTTGGTTCTGTCCAAGTCTGAGACCATTCGCTACTCGCTCGCTAGCAGCTCGCCTAGCGAACCACTCGCTAGCTCGCTCGCTAGCTGCTCGCTTAGCGAACCTCTGCGATCTCTCAAAACCTCTACTGTCCAAAAATGTCACAAGGTCCAAAAATCACCTGATTCAATTCCAACAAGTTTCCATAGTCTTAGCATAACATTCCTCGACTAAGCTACATCACTTATTCCAGATTCTAACCGTTAAAACATCGGTTTCTATCGATTAAATCATTTCGAGCTAAAAATGCAAAATGAGTAAAAACTCTCCAACAATCCAAATCAATCCAACAAAAGCATACATAATCATACACATTGAGAAAATAATAAGATTTCACACCCTTACCCGATTAAATCGAATCCTAGATGTTGATCTTGAGCTATCCAAGCTTTCCCTCTATTTTCTCCTCTTCTCTCTTCTTCCTTCTTTCTTTCTCTTCCTTTCTCTTCTTTCTATTTCTATCCTTTTCTTTTCTTTCCTCTATTCCACTTATATCTCTTTCTATTCTATTTCTCTCAAAACATCTACTAATCCATTTTCTCACAAAATAAGAAGTGTCTAAAATACCCTCCGGTCTATTTTCCCCGAAAACTCTCAAAATCGGTAAAATAGCATAATATGCGAACAAAACATATTACACATCAATTTTGTTAGACTATGGCACAGATCTAGAAGGGGGGGTTTGTCGCTTGCGCGAAAATAAGGTGCCGGCACAACAGAAGAGTCGCCACCTTTCATTATTTATCCCTCAGAGCGGGAAAGGAA